TTTGCTTACGAAGTCTTCGAAGTCTTCGAAGTTTTTCACTACATTTAAACTTCGAAGACTTCGAGAACAAAAATTCACAAAAACTTCGAAGTTTTTTCCAACTTCGAAGACTTCGTTTACTATTCGAATATTCGAATTTCTTCGAATACTTCGTAAATTCGAATATGAACAGCACTAGTTGATACTATTTTGAGGTGACCAGATTTTTAGGTGGGCAAAGCGGGACAACTCTGAAAAAGTTTCAACACTTAATTTTGGTTTTTCTAATGTCCACACTTTTCTTACTGTAGAAAAAACACGTTCAGTTGCAGCGGTAGTTCCAGGTAGAGATAATGCATATTAGTTTGATTGACTTAAAATATTTGCAAAACTTTATTCATATATTTCTTTCTTAAATTTCTTTTGAGGTTAAGATCGGTTATATACTTTTTGTCATTAATATAAAATATGAAGACTACGAGTATTTTAAGCTAAGTTTAAGAAAATTTATGTATTTATGAAATATATAAATAAATTACTTATCTTAATTTTCTATGCTAAGTAGAAGATTTGTAATATTTAATTGTTTAATTAGCTCGCTAGCACGCAGTATGGACACGAACTGTATCATCTGAGAGACAAATACAATGTAACTGGGTAGCAAAAGCAATATATTAGTCGTCGTAGCCCGTATGATTCCTAGAACGCAAAACAAATTGAAGGATTCTTAGAATGCCAAACAATGATTTTCATAAATATAAAATTTAACTTAATTCTAAAAGTCCGGATTTTTGAAAAACATCACGGGACGCGGGACAAATAGTAAATAATCAGGACTGTCCTGCCGAAAGCGGGACGTCTGGTCACCTTATACTATTTGGAAACCTATTTACGAAATCAGGTACGCAGTTTAGGAATGAAGCACATATAGTGAACATATATAGTTTTATGTACATACTGACCGGAAGGGAACAATTAGCAAGGAATCAAACAAATTTTTCAATGAATTATTAGTTCCAGTGCGTTATAAAAATATAAATAATATAAATAATGTTTTTTTATAATATAATTACTTACTCTCCAAATTCCAACAGTTGAATACGACCAAACTCGTTAAATGGAATTTAAACAAATTATAAAATATGAAATTTATTAATGCCAAATCAACAGCCATTTACTCAGACAAAAATTCAATGTTAAGCCTAAAAATATTTGTAAATGATATAAAAATATTTAAAAATTTCATGCTTTTATATAAATTTTATTCTCGAAAATATAATTTGTATTTCATAAATATTTTATCGTTTTTCCACAAGTGCATTAAGTTAGTTTAACTCTTGTAATATTTATGAAGATTTTATGAATTTCGACAATTTAATTTCTTAATAAAATGCAACCGTCAATACAATCGCTGACATCTTTACGTGACAACCTTAAAAATCTATACACAAAAAAAAATGTTTTATATATAATCACGGCTGTCGTAATATCCTGTGAAAAATCCTACATCCTTTTTTGTCGCTTTTCATTTCGATTGTCAATATTGTTGTCAATTTAATTTATTGGCAATCGTTGACATTGTATTGCAGGGCTTCGTATCCCAAATAAAGGGCTTCATTCGATTGTCATGTTATTATGTCAACGGATTAATATGTTTTTATCCTTGCTTGCAAAATAATTATATTAAAAAACACGAAATTACAATGTGCAGAGCAAAATATTAAAATATAGAACACTAAGGAGAGAAATTGATGAACCACGTATTATTTTATGAATAGTGGAAGGAAAGCGGAAGGTTTTTACTTTCAAGCATAATAACAAGAAAATCATATTTTATTATTATAAGTAAAAAAAATATTTATACTGAAAAGTTAAAAGTCCTATAAACTACCTTTTCTCTGCTATTTCCTTTAATTCTTTTTAAGTGATTATACTCATAAATATTTAATACAATAATTTTTAAATTTAGTTCACACTCTGTTAAATCCAGCAATTACATAAGTTTAATATTTTGTTTTTTTAAATCCCTTTTCCAAATTTAGATATGCCACCATCATAAAACGTAGGTTTATTACCATAAAGATTTACAATTTGTAAAAATGCAGTTAGATTATTTAAAATGGAGTAAAAGAAAATATTCTCATACATGGGAGTCAGAAGTAAGATGTATTAATAACAAAAATACACCGAGTTCTGACAAAATTGATGGTCTCACTTTAAAAAACCTACCGCTGAAGTGTATTCGACCTTTAACATATGTGTCTTCAGTGCAATACTCATGCTAGACTACCACTCAAGTCAATGGAAATGTGTAGAAATTATGATTCCAAAGCCAAATAAGCCTGCAACCGAGCTTTCATCATATCGTCCTAATAGCTTGCTGCCAATATTATCTAAAGTATTTAAAAAAATACTTGTGACGGGAATGTTGTGTTAGACGAAGTTTCTATCATAACTGAATACCATTTTGGGTTTAGAAGAGAGCATGGAACTCCTTTGCAATGCGACAGAATAATTGACAAAATTATGAAGGCTTTAGAATGTAAAAAATATTGTACAGCAGCATTTTGAGACTTTCACCAGGCATTTGATAAAATATACCACGATGGGATTTTATTCAAGTTCAATCACATCGTACTATTTGCTAATTAAGTGAACGTCGTTACTAAGCATAGCAAAAAAGTGAAAACTCTTCATTGCAACTTATAAGGGCAGGCGTTCTCCAAGGAAGCGAATGATGTCGCGTTTGGCAGCAATCATGCGTTCAGGGCCGGAACGCAGGAACCGGATTCAAAAGGCTGCGAGTGTTAACTTACATTCAATTTACAGCTGATATGCCTGTTAATAACGTTAAATAACGTTACTGTGGCAACGTACACAGATGCTGTTATAGCTCATCCATCTTAGAAGCTTTTCAGCAACTACTGTCTGAGCTTAGACTGATTGAAGCAGGGATTCAACGGTGAAAAATTAAAGTGAACGCTCAGAAATCAGAACTTTTACTTTATTACTATTTACTTTATTACTTTTTATTACTTTCAACAGAAGATAAAATTGTCCTGCAGTCTACTCTAATGGATCAGTGATTCCACAGAATAAATCTGTGAAATATTTTGGTATGCACCTTGATCAAAACCTTATCTGGAACACCCACATAAAAGCCAAACGGAAACAGTCAATACAGTTTATATAAAGTCAAACCGAATGCAATGGCTAATGTTTCAGAATAATTTTTTTATGTTGAATTTTATGTCAATTTATCGTGCAAAATTGATATTATTAGGCTTCACATAATAAAGAATCTATTTAAATAGAAAGAAAAGGGAATATTTAAACAAAAAATAAATTTTTACTAACAAAAACTTTTTCGCTTTTTGTTTTTAGAAATATCTATTGGTTTCAAAACTTAATTTATAAGTAACTTTTGGACTACCAGGTATTAAATCCTGCCATATAAGAAGCACATATTCAAACGTTGGACCAAGGCACTAACGTTACCTTTGATTTACATTAAATAATCTTTGTTTCGCTGTTTTTTATCTTAAGAAAAGTGCAGTTTCTGTTCCGACTTTGAAAGAAAACCATAACCCAAAGCTATACATATGCACGTAATAAATATTATTGTTGTTTTTAAGAAATTGTAATTTTTATTTATACACCGATTTTTTTAAATTCAAAATGATCTAATATATATTTTAATTTTCTTCTTATTTTTTGTATTATAGAATATTTATTTCATAATAAAATATAAAATAAAATTACAAGGACACTTGTTGTTTTCTATATGCAGTTTACTCTTAATTTTTTTATATATAATTACAAATAATATTTATGTTTAATTGGAACAATTTTGCAAATTAGTAAATTGATAACTTAATTTCTTAAATAATTAAAAATTAATTTTTTTAAAACCTTTTTTCGAAGCTCAACATTTTATTAATATAAAAACCTAATCGTTGTATTTTGTTAGTTTAATTAACAAAAACAAAAAGAACCCTATTAGGAGGATATCACTAACAGACAATTCATCTTCAAACAAAGATAATACTTAAAAAATTTGGACAAAATTCTTGGCTTGACTGTTTTTATATAAAACGAGTATTTATTGATATTAAAAAATTTTATAGAGGTATCATTTAATGTAGTTAAGATAAAATTTTTTGCTGTTCTTTTTTATATTTAAAATAAAATTTTTACTTATTCCATCCATATTACTATATCACAACCAATAATAATATGTCCAATTTCAGTTGATGTTACTACTACATTTTCATTTATTCAATCCAAACTAAAAAGAAACAAAATAAAATTAGAATATTTCATTTTATTCATGTACATATTTAACGTACCGTAATACGAGAATATATATGGGTTTCTTATAAATAGTATGCAAGAAATGGACAGCATAGTCTCAAAGTTTATTTACCAGTGAATTCCTAAAAGTAGATATATATAAGCAAACTGCAACTAATTTTAAATTTAAAGATGATGGAAAAGCAATGTTTGATATCTCTGCTTAACATCTAGACTTAAAAATTCTAATATCATTGTAAATATACAATATAGCTAAATGATGATAACTATTTTTTTTTATAAAATATTAACAAACTCTTACCATGAGTCTCACCAGATAAATCCATAGAACATTCTATATTGCATACGATTTCTTTGTGCAGAATATAAGTATTAACTATCCATAAAGTATTGAATTTTTCTATATCAAAACTTTTTATCTTGCTAATATACAAGAGAAATAGTTTTTCGCCATCATGACTAACTACACTATTCTCACAGCTTTCACCTTCGCCAGGTAATAACTTGACAAAGTCATATTCTTGCTTAATTTTTATACCATATATAAGAACTTCACCGGTATGTCCGCCTGCGAAAAGTATGTTTGCAGTAGGATGCCAGCGTAACCAATTTAATGATCTCATTGAAAATTGCCACACGTTTAGCAGGAACACAGGATGAAATATGTAGCGTCCTTCTGGTAAAGGAGGTAGTACACTATAAACAGCAACTTCACCAATACAACTACCTGTTCCTAAATACGAGCCATCTTGACTAAACTTTAAATTTGTTAGTTTTTGCTTTACTGAAATGTACTCTAAGCGTGCCATTTCTTTAGTAAGCCATAACAAAGCACCGCCTTCAATTCCGCTGGTAATCGCCAAGCTTAAGTGGGGATGTACATCGCAAGCTATAATTTCAGACCTTTCGTCTTCTATCATACTATCTTCTTCTATTGGTATATTGTCTTCACCATTAAACATAAATGTGTGAATGTGAATAACTTCATCATCCTCCTCCACAAAACGGTCATCGTCAATAATTTCATCATCGAATTCAGCGTCAC